AGGAATAGCCAAGTGTCTGTTACACCTGGCATTAACAGAAATGGACTTGAAGCACTAAGATAGATTGTTTTATTTTGTAGTTGATGTGTCTCACACTCTCAAAATCTTAAGGTTAATTTTCATTTCTGGTTGTGAAAGTCATTGGTGATGCCATTAGTGTTTCTACCTTTTGGTCTTTTAGACAATGAGTTGTGAGCATTGGGGTTGAAGTATAGGGGTGAGTGCTGGCAACTGCTGGTTCTGTTGGGAAACTAAACTAAGAGAGAGGTTATCTATACTGTTTGTCTCTGTCGGTCTTTGTCGAGGGTCAAAGGAAACACTCTTGAGGGGAATTGAAAGTGAACACGAGGAAGCCGCAACTATTAGGCTGTCAGGAAGGTAATGATGTTATTTTTCTATGTTTTTCTAGGCAAAAATGTGTCATACCTTTCCCGATGACACAGTATATACAAGGGAATAGATAATTAGCACTCATGTCAAGGAGGTTGACGATTTAGAGAGGATGAGGCAGATATACTGAATGTCCTTTGGTAGGAAAGTGACAGCAGGTTTGAAGAGTGGAGGAGAGAGCAAGGGTGGATCTGAAAGCAGAAGAGACATCTGCTTTCCGTGAATTGGGGCAGCATAGTAGTGAAAAGGGTGGGCTGTGGAGCATAGTGCCTGTTTCCTCTCTGGAACGGGGATAATAGTACCTATTACATAAGATGTTGTGAAGATAAAATGATCTATGAAATACACAGCTCTTTTTTTTTTGGAGAGATTTTCACTGTAGGACGCGTGCGCTCGCCAGACAGACAGAGAGAGACATAGAGACAGAAAGCGAGAAATCACCCCCCAGGGGGGATGGTCACGCCACAATCCCTTCTCCTCCATTCTCCTCTTGAGATCTTGGGCACGCACGCACACACGCCCGGCATGAGTTTTAAGCCACCGGGTCCGGGACACGAACTGCGGTCGACCACGTGGGAGTCCAGCGACATAGCCATTACGCTAACTGCTGGTTCCCGAAATACACAGCTCTTAAAAACAGTACACCTAGTAAGAACTCGATAAATATTAGCTATTGCTAATTTTATTATTGTTTATTGTCATTCCTTCTGCCACTGTCCTGGTCCAGGCTGCTCATCATCTATCACCTAGTCTAATACAAGGACCTCTCATTGCCTTTTTAATTAAAAATATTGTTTTTGTTTTGTCATCAGAGAGTGTATGTGTTCGCCGAAGGGAGAAAGAGACAGAGAAAGCACCCCCAATGAGGCCTGGTCATTCATAATCTTTTTTTCCTCTATTTTTCTATCCCATTAAGATTTGAGGCATGCATGCACATACACCTAGCATGTTTTTTCAAGGGGCCGTGTATGGATGCTAACCATGGTTGGCCATGGGGGCTCTGGCTCCCTATGCACAGTTTACCTGCTGCACTACAGCACTGGCCCCTTGTTGCTCTTTTCACATCTATTATTGTGCCACTTACAATTTGTTCTCTGCCTTGTAGTCTTTTAATATAATAATCTTTTCAAGTTACTCCTTTGCTTAAAGTCTTTCAGTAATTCCTCCTTCACTTATAATTTAAGTATTTATAATAAAGTAGAAAACCCTAGCCTCAGTATATGCTGACCTCCATAGTTAATCCAACTTCATAATTCTTTTTTATTTTATTTTTATTTATTTTATTTATTATTTATTTTTTTTTGAGAAGTTTTTGCTATAGGGCGTGTGCACTCGCCAGACAGACAGAGAGAGACATAGAGACAGAAAGCGAGAAATCACCCCCCAGGGGGAATGGTCATGCCGCAATCCCTTCTCCTCCATTCTCCTCTCGGGATCTTGGGCACGCACGCACACGCGCCTGGCGTGAGTTTTAAGCCACTGGGTCCGGGACGCGAACCGCGGTCGACTACGTGGGAGTCCAGCGACATAGCCATTACGCTAACTGCTGGTTCCCTCTTTTTTATTTTTTTAAAAAATTTGCTACAGGGTGTGTGCCTTCACCAGAGAAAGACAGACAGAGAGAAAGGGAGAGGGACAGTATGAAAGTACTGCCCAGGAGGGAAGGCCCTGCCACAGTCCTTTCTCCTCTGTTCTCCTCTCGGGACTTTGGGCACTCTGGCATGGACCTGTGCTGGATCCAGGACTCAAGCAGTTACAGTCAGTCATGTGGGATCCAGCCATTTTACGCACCATAGCGCTGGCTGGCTCCACAATTCCACTTTCAGATCTCCCAGTGTGCCATCTCCTGCTCACCTCAGGGTTTTTGTATTAATGTATGTTAGAGGATCAGTGCTTCACCCTGCTGTTACCTTTCAGGTACAGGGCATGCTACTGGTACAGCATTTCTTTCTCTATCTTTTTACTCATTCTGCCACACGGGAGGTGGAAGAGTTTACCTGAAGAGTTGATTCTGGAGGAATAATGGGCCTTAGCTTAGCTATTCTCTTCTCCCTCTTGGAAGTGAGTTTTCTTCAGGGAACAAGTGGTTTCTCATGCTCTTCTAGTAACTGGCTCTTTTCCACTGTGTGGGAGGTGTGTCTGGTCTGGCACCACCTGTGACTTTACGTATAAGCCAACCTCATCATGGTGTCAATTAACCAGCCCACCTCGCTTTTAGTCTGGCTTTATCAGCACCGATGATGCTAAAAGATTCTCCACATGCCACTCCTTCCTTGTCTGCTGCCTCTTTCCTGTCCTTCTCTTCCTCCTATTTTCCTGGATTGGGATGTTGCTTACAGTCCATAGTGGAAAATTAGTTCTAATGGGATAGTGGTGAAGATCTTTTATGCTGTATTATGGAATGAGTTATACTAAAATTTTAATTTTAATCCATAGGTTGAGCTGAAGCAACAAAATGGCTAGATGTTAATGTCCCTGATTTAAGATCCCACCTTCATTTACATTCTTGGATAGGGCAGTGAAAATGAAAACATTTTTCTTTTTGATGGAAAAAACAAAAAGTAGATGGATACAGAGATTATCCAGCAGGGGGAACCCGTGCACCTTGTTCCCAGTCAAAGATGTGAGCATTTACATCATCTGTGACTAAATTACAACAAAGCCAATAGAATAAGCATAATCATTGCTATATATCAAGCGAAGCAAATAAAAGAAAATTGTCATAGGTTCTTGGCATCATCACTTTATCCCACAGAACTGGCTCTTCACCTGTATGGAATTCAGTTTTGTAGGAGAGTTTCTTTGTAATTCCTCCTGTGTTTTTGACTTTCACAGATGTTCTTTCTGTCTTTTCAGCAAGGTGCTCGCTAAACCTCTATTTTAGTTATAACTTAGAAAATATGAAACAGAATTAGGAATACAAGATTCTTTTAGTTAGCTCTTCTTCTCTTTAGTTTTTCTCTTTTCTGAGTCCCTTCTTTAGTAAAACATGATGTGATTTACAGTACCCATAGCCTTCTTTCCTAGCTCAACTCTTGAGTAGGTAACACGCTGCAGAAGAATCATCATCAGCTTATGGAACGGTTTCAGCACATTACTGTGCATTGGAACCAACTAAGCTTGGAAGCTTCTCTTGATACCTTTTTCTTACTCTTCTGTAACTTGTATACAGAGCTGGATACCTGGTAAATGTTATAACTGTCATTTAACAGATGCTTGTATTTTATTTAAACAGGTAGCACTGATTACTAAGGACCAATGTAGATTTACTTAAAACAAGCTACAGTCACCCAAGCTTCAGTGGTGCAGGTGGCAGGGTGCTGCTACATGGTGCTGGAGCTGTATGGGTGCCTGGGTTAGGATCCTGGGTCAACTTGAGCACACTGAGTGCACCCACATGTGCCTGTGATTCTGGCTGGTTGGGTAGCTTGGGGAGGATCACAATGTGGTGAGACCTTGTCAAGGGTACTTGTCTCTTTATTTCTCTCAAGAAAGAAAGAGAAAGAAACTTAACTCATATCAAACTAACTTATTTAAAAGTAGTATTCTGAGCATTTTATTCTGAATTTTAGCAAGACCTGTATCCCCAAATTTCTCATGCTATCTTTGTAGATAAGATAAGCTAGACCTCAGGGGAGTATAAACTAGATGAATTTATAAATGATTAAATAACATTTTTAATATGTTTTATAAAATATTAGAAAAAAATGTTAAGATTAATGAATGAAGAAGTATTTAGAATTTTTCCAGAGCTTTATTATTTTAATTTAAAAAAGTTTGGGAGTATCTAACTTTATCCCATTTAAAGTATTTATCTGTAGTTTTGAAAGACTACTATATAGGAGTGTGTTTGAAAATTTCTGATGACACAAAAGCTGGGAGGAATTTTGAATACTTCAAATAGTATACTCATGATCTTATTATATTATTTATTTAAAAAATAATTATTTAATTTAATTTTATTCATTATCATTATTTTTTATAAACATGGAAAGGCCTTAGATTTTGTCTAGGTGATCTCAGGGATGGAATTTGACATATGGCAGGAAGTTATAGGGAAGTAGATTTGAGTTTTTCATAATAAAGACCCCTCCAGCAAGTCCTATTCTGAAATGGAAACAGACTGCTTTGTGAGGCAATTTCCAGTCATGGTGGACCTTCGAAGACAGACCTAGATGTTGTTGTTGGAATATCAAAGAGGGTTATGCTTTATGAAGGTGGACCAGATGATCTCTGAAGCTCCTATCAGTCTTTTGGGTCCCAGCATGAACTCAGTGCCTACATACAGCAGATATTCAAGCAATGCCTGTCAAATGAGTGTATGCAAAAGAGTGAAAAAATCTCAGGGGCAGGCTTTTGACCTTGACACACTTTTTAGTCATTGGTAATTTTATGGCACTGAACAGTAATTTTACCCAGGATCAAGAGCATGTTGCATGACCTTGGTTAAAATAAAGGCCTTAGGCCACACGAAGTTTGAAATTTCCTAGATAAGTAGATTGTTTATCTGGTTCTGGCATAACTCCTGCTCAGGTTTATAAGTTTCAGAGCTATTTCTCATAATGAGCAATGCCTTGTCCCAAACTAACATTATGCTATTTCTTTTTCAGGATAATCGTATCCATACATCCAAGTACAATGTTCTCACTTTCCTGCCTATTAATTTATTTGAACAGTTCCAAAGAGTGGCAAATGCCTATTTCCTTTTCCTTCTGATTTTACAGGTAATGTTTAGGGTGTGTGTATGTGTGTGTGTGTGTTATCTATTAAAAATATTCACATAATTTGAAAAAGTAGGTTAAGCCATTCTTATCAGATTTTTAATGTTATTATTGCTGTTTCTCTTCACAAATGTTGGAAGGCTAGGAATGGGTAAAAATGAGTGCATTCATCATTTTAAACACTGAGGTCATTTTAAAATGCAGCCTCACACTTGAACCAAACCAGAGCCCAGTAATTACTTCTCATAGCCTCCCTCCTTCCTTTCTTTATCTTTCTCTCATGTTGACAGTGCAGGGATTGCCAAAGTTGGGACAAAGTCTTAGCTGACTGAGGCTTACTAGGTTGTGGAACTCAGTTTAGGAAACCACATTTTTATCTGAGAACAATGTCACATTTAATGTGTATGCATATAAAATATTGAGTTGTGGGGAAAATTTGGGTACATTTTTGCATACAAAAACAGGAAAATATATCACGACTTTCCCAATGACCTAATAAATTATATATGTAATATATTACTTCACTGTAGGGTGACTTTTTTTAGTTCTGAGTGGTAAATGGGCAGTTAATAACCTTTCTTTTTTTCCCCATCTGATTAAAATTTCAGCTTAAGGAAAATTTCAGCTTTTACAGATATTTTTGGGAAGAAAAAGGCATATATCGAGGAAGACACATACATACATGCACATAAGCAATTCATATTACCTACTATTCATTTTAGAATATTTCAATCAGTTCAGATTGGTAGGTTCAGAATGTAGCGGGCTCTGTGTTAATTGCAAGAGTTAAAGAGATGGATTAGATATGTCTGGATGAATAGCTTTGGGTATATTTTATTCTTTGAATAACTATTTGTATTAAGAATATTTTAGTTGTAGGTGTAGAAATACTCTTTTTTTTGATAGGTTTTTGCTATAGGGCATGTGCGTTAGCCAGAAAGACAGAGAAAGAGAGACAGAAAGCAAGAAATCACCCCCCCAGGGGGGATAGCCACACCACAATCCCTTCTCCTCCATTCTCCTCTTGGGATCTTGGGCATGCATGCACACGCGCTCATTGTGCGTTTAAGCCACCAGGTTTGGGACTTTTGAACCATGGTTGACTACATGGGAGTCTAGCAACATAGTCATTACACCAACTGCTAGTCCCAGAAATATTGTAGAAAATATTCATTAGTTTAAACAAAATAAAATATTGACACAGGTGGTAGGTTACTGATTTAGATGCCAGAGCCACATGAACAACTGGTGTTCTTATGTTCTTATCACCTGTCATCCTGAAACATGCAAGGTACCTTGTGCTCCCATGATACTGACTGGCTAGAGGGTTGGGGAAAGGGGATTGCAGTGTGATGAGACCCCCTCAGATATGTCTGTGTGTTCTTGAGCTTGCTTTTGAGATTAAAAATGTTAAAAGTGGTGAATATATTCAAGGGTATATTTTGTTTCAATTATTACTGGATTTATGAGCAATAACAGTTTCATCAGGAGGTGGTTCCTCTACTTTGTCTATTTTGGCCTCACTCCTAGGTAGGCCCTCTTTACCTGGTGGCAATGACAGCTTTAGTCTTTTATCATTCTAATTCCAATTCAACTCCATTGAAAGAGAGAGAGAGAGAGAGAGAGAGAGAGAGAGAGAGAGAGAGAATGAATTACTTTTTCTGTTTATCTAGTGAAAGTCTTAGGATTAGTAGTCTGAGTAGAACTATATACTCATTCCTGAAACAACCACTGTGGCTCAAGAATTAAACAAAAAAATTTAATTAGTGTAGTATTTGTACATATTTATGGGGTAGTGTATAGTATATTTTTTGATGCATGAATATAATGTGTTATATTCAAATCAGGGTGATCTGCACATCTGCCACCTTAAACATTTGTCATTATATTACTGTGCTATAATTTCACCCTATTGCCCTTTAGAACATCAGAACCTAACAGAATGTCCAACTCTACCTCCCTTAATCAATGTCTCTCCATCCCTCTACTATAGTGGTCCCAGCCTCTAGCAGTCACAACTCCACTCTCCCCTTCTACAAGTTCAACTCTGTTAGTTTTTTTTTTTTTTTTGAGAGGTTTTTGCTATAGGACACGTGCGCTTGCCAGACAGACAGAGAGAGACATAGAGACAGAAAGCGAGAAATCACCCCCCAGGGGGGATGGTCACGCTGCAATCCCTTCTCCTCCATTCTCCTCTCGGGATCTTGGGCACGCATGCACACGCGCCCGTCGCGAGTTTTAAGCCACTGGGTCCGGGACGCGAACCACGGTCGACTACGTGGGAATCCAGTGACATAGCCATTATGCTAACTGCTGGTTCCCTGAACTCTGTTAGTTTTGACCTATGTCTGAGAACATGTATTTATCTGTGCCTGGCTTATTTCGCATAACATAATGTTCTCGACTCATCCATGTTACCTTGAATGGCAGTGTCATTATTTTAAATGACTAAATAGTATTCCATTGTGTATGTATAGCACATTTTCTTTGTCCATCATCTGTTGATGGATACGTAGGTTGATTGCATATCTTGGTTATTATGAATGGTGCTGCAAAAAATATGGGGGTACAGATATCTCTTTGACATGCTAATTTCTTTTCTTTTGAATATATACCCAGTAGTGGGATTACTGAATCATCTAAATCATAAGATAGTTCTATTTTTAGCTTTTCCAGGAAACTGTATACCATTTTCCATAATAGCTATACTGGTGAAAGAGTTCTCCTCTCTCCACATTCTTGCCAGCATCTGGCTTTTTTCTTTTTTAGTAATTATGGCTCAAGAATTCAATGCAATTATTGACTTGACCTAGGTCACATGCTAAAATCTGGAGCCAGGATGAAATCAGTCATGGACTAGAACTACATGGACTAAACGTAGAGGAGAAAGGGTATTTCCCAAAGAGATAGGAGTGTAGTCAAAAACTAGGTGCTGATCAGGAAAAACAAAACAAAACAAAACAAAACAATAAAAATGATGAACAAATGTCATATTACTTATCAAAAAACCTTGGACTCCAAGATTCCATCCTCCTCAATGAAATTACTGTTGATTTTTTTCATGTAATCCTTTATACCATTACAAAATTTTTGAGTTCATTTCTCTATTGGTTGCCTTATCTATGGTTGGAGGGTCTTATTCATAGCATTTTATATCTGGAAGGAACCTTTGGGATTGTTTAGTCCAACTTCCTATCTTCCATTGATGCAGAAATTATACCCAGAGAGCTTAGTGATATGTAAAGTTTTCACAAAAAACTAACGATAAAAGTGGGAGTAAGATCCAGCTTTCTGCTACCCAACCCAGTGTTTTTGCTGTTACCTCAGAGACTTTTGAAGTAGTTTTTATTTTTTAAAAAATTTATCTGTAAAGTGTTATATAAAATTGATTTAGTTTAGAATTGTTTAAATGGAACTTGAGTTTCTCCATCTACCGACTTCACCCATTCCTATCTGATGGCCCTGAAGCAGGTAAAAGATGAACCTGATTTGAAAATTATTTGTCTAAGAGAGTCACTATGATGCTTTTAGCTGGGTGATTTTTAAGGTAAAGGCACAAAGGACTAGGCCTTGAAGTTAAAGAAATCTGGGTTCAGATTTTAGTAGTGTGTGTTCTTGGCCCCGACTGTTTGACCCTTAGATATTTCACTTATACAATGGGGATATGATATCCAGGACTAGAACATTTCCTGACTCTGGGTCACCATTCACAATGTATTTCATGTTGTGCACCGGGAGTGCTATATACATGGAATATAAACTGTATGAGATTATGCAAAACTAACTCTAGCACAGACTCTAATTCAATAAACTTTTCTGAGGGTCATATGATATAATATATAGATAGTACTTGGCACAGTGAAAGGTTAAGTGCTCAAGGAAACTTTCTGTGTGAGAACTGGTAAGAAGAATAGTTGACGAAGTTGTTAAAAGTTCAGGTGAGAAGCTGAGAGGATCGGGTGAAATTTAACATACTGGGGAAAGATCATCTGTGAAAGATTTCAAGATGCTTACTTTTGAACTTGCTATGAAGTTTTATTTTTGTTAGGTAAGGTCAAACTGATTCCATGATACTTCAAGTCTATGTGTCTTGTAACAAAATACAAACACTTAAATTATTGCGAGTTATTCTGTATTTGTACAAATAACTAATATAACCCCATTAATTTCTCCAAAGTCTTTTAAAATTAAATGACAACATTTGGAAGACATATTTCTTAACTTTAAAAGCCCTAAACTATTTGAAATGTTCATTTCAGCTAATTCCAGAAATCTCCTCCTTGACCTGGTTTACCACCATTGTGCCTTTGGTCTTGGTGATAACTATGACAGCGGTCAAAGATGCCACAGATGACTACGTGAGTATTTGCTCTTGAACATTCTTGATGCCTCAATTTCAACAGTGGTCTCTCAGAAATAGAAAATGGAGATTTCAATAAAGTTCTTTTGGTCAATATCCTAAAACTCATTTGCTATTTGTTTGATGATTAATATAGGTACCATAGAATTAGAACCTTCTTAAAAGCAAGAGACTTTTTTTAAAAATAATTGCCAGAAGGTGCATGTGCTTGTCAGAGAGAAGCAGAAAGACAGAGAGAGAGGGAAGGAAGGGGAGAGAAAGCACTCCCTTTAGATGGGGAACAGTCAGGCCACAATCTCTTCTCCTTTATTTCCTCATTCTGTTGGCATTTTGGGCACTCATATATGTGTATGCACTCAGCATGTTTTCCAAGTGGCTGGGGTTGGCATTCAAACCACAGTGAGCTACATGGGATCTAGTTTCCTTAATTAATAGGCTATGGGACTGGCCTGAGGCTGGATTTTTTAACAAGCATACAAGACCCATCCACACTGATGAATAATGTCATATTAAAGTGTCAGTTTGGGACATTCCTAGAGTCTACCCATCTGTGTGAGCTTGCCATTGTTCAAGGTGCTTTGGGAGCTCTTACAGAATTGTCTTTATGGTCAGTACACAAGGTACAGAAGAAAGTTAATATCAGGACTTCTTGTTCACTTAGTTTTGTAAACTAACACCATTTCTCAGCCCAACCAAAATACCTTATTAACCATAATTACTTTCTAAGAATGGCTTTTATATAATTTCAAACGTATGACATATCTTTATGTCCTTTCAAAGGATATAGAGCTCCATTCTTCTTTTTGAGTTATTTATTAATTTATTATTATTTTAAAAATTTGCTGTAGGGCAAGTGTGCTCACCAGAGAGATAGAAATAGAAAGAGAGAGGAGAGAGAGAAAGAGAGAGAGAGAGAGAGAGAGAGAGAGAGAGAGAGAGAGAAAGCTACCAGGTCTGGGACTTGAACCATGGTTGGTCATATGGGAGTCCAGCATCTTAACCACCATGTCACCTGTTGGCCCCTAGAGCTCCAGTCTTAAGGACACAGGGTATTCCAAAGACTAGGCCATGAAGTCCAAAGGTAATCCTATGAGAGGAAATTTCAACAATGATTTGTGCAGTGACATCTTTGGAGTAAATATGTTGCTTTTCCATGTTATATGATCTTTCAGAGAAACAGTATTCATTTAGGTGAGTTCCTATGTATTGGTCTGAAAGGTTTTATTCATTATAGTCATACTTCATAGAAGAGTGAAATGGAAGAATAGAAAAAACATGGATAGGTTTTGGAGAAAGACACCTTACCCTACTGTGTACTAGCAATGTGACCTGAAGAAAATCACTTAACTTCTCTGAGCCTTTCCTGTTCTGTGGTCAATGGCATTAGCACTGCTAGGAGGACCAAGTGAAATAATAAATAATACATAAATGTACAGGTACAGAGTCTGGCTCACAGTGGATACACAATGAATGCTAGTCCTCTGCCCTATTCTTGTCCTGAGACAGTTTCCTTCAAAGATTTCTAGAGTAGAAATTGTCAAGAAGAGTCAGCCGAGGAGAGACGACCATTTCTAATGTTCCCAGAATCTACCTGCTTCAATACCAAAGATGCCTTGATAAAGGCTGTGCAGAAATAGGAGTGGTCCTGTCTTGAGGCCCAGTGAGTAGGCTGCTCAACTTTTTTCTCTTTTTTCGTTTTTGCTATAGGGCACATGTGCTCACCAGCGAAAGAGACAGACACAGAGAGAGAGAATGAGAGAGGAAAAGTGAGAAGTGACTTCCCTCCCACCCCCACCCCCCCTTGATGTGGCCATGTTGCAATCCCTTCTCTTCCAGTCTCCTCTTGGGATTTTGGGCACACACACATGCTCAGCATGATTAAGCTGCCAGGACTGGGACTCGAATCATACAGCTGGTCATGTGGGATCCAGAACCTTAACTTCCATGCTTCCTGCTGGTCCTGTCTGCTCAACTTTTGAGATGAATTTATTAGTCTTTCCTATGATGCCCAATTTAGCAGACTATTTCATGTTAGATACAAATGTGACTAAACCTTAAGTCTTCTTTTGATTCTACTGAAGTTAATGCTTTTATTTTTTAAAGAATTATTTATTTAATTTTATTTATTATTACTATTTTTCACTTTGACTGGAGAGAGACAGAGTGAAAGAGAGAAAAGGAAAATGAGAAAGCAAGCCACGAGGTCCAGGACTTGAACTGTTTTCAGCCATGTGGGAGTTCAGTGCCTTAACCACCATGCCACCCGCTGGCACCAGTGCTTTTATTTTTGTGATGATATGTGCCAGTTCAATAAGTGAACATCTTTATAAGTCAGGGACTTGGTAGGAAACAGATGCCACCCTGAGTTGGGGAAGATTGTGAGTTTAATAATAAAGGGTCCATTTACAAAAGTATGGGCAAGGAAAACACCTAAACTATCTCCATGGAGGGGCAATACGACGTCTAGGCCTGAAGAGGCAAAAGAAAGAAGAGCTTACCAGATCTGAAGGTATAGCTGAGAGTTGTTTGTAGCAGCTAGGTTATCTGAAGAGGAAGCAGTAATTTCTTTTTTTATTTTATTTTATTTTTTAATTTATTGTTATCATCATAATCTTTATATTACATTGGATTACATATAACTTTACAGTGTATTACATTGCTTTTTCAAAAGGGAATGCCATGCATGTCAGTCAATACAGAGACATTAATCTCCCCGAGGAAGTAGTAATTTCTAAACTGACTAGAACAAAGCCAGGGAATAGGTACACCCATTTCACTCTCCTCTGCCCCTCTGATCTTCTGCCTCTACCATCTACTGACCAAACCCAACTAGAGCCAGAGGACAAGCGCTATTCAGGTCAGCCCAGCTTCCCATAGCACAGGACAGAGTGGAAAGGGAAAAGGTGTAGATATGGAGGAGCAACCAGAGAATATTTAGCAGCCATACCAACTCATGGACTGAAGTAAAAAATGTTTCCACTTCTCATGTTCTGTTGGTAAGAAGGTTGCATGTCAGTGGATGGGCTGACTTAATTTATTTCTCTACCATTATTATAAACTATTTTCATGTTAACATATGTGAGAAATCTTTGTTTTCTTATTTTTACTGGTAATATCCATAAACTTATACCTGTCATTCTAGGTAGTGGTATGTTCTGGCATAGTAAGACAGAAAGATTGAGATGGGTTTGGGAAGGATGTAGAAAAAAAGGCTGGTTGAAGCATTTGTATATTATAATACTGACACTACATTTTGATTAAAAATGATTGTGATGATTGTAATGTATGAAATCAAAGTTTCCTGATACTGCCCCCTATGCATCTGTGCCTGTAGGCAAATTTGCTGACATAACCTTGTCTTCTATTATAGCCTGTTACTGTTTGTACTATAGTCTCTGTTTACTGTCTTCTTTATTTTAGCCCATTACTGTCTTGACAGTTCATGTAGACTTATCTGAATGGTTGCTAGTTTCTGAGTCTAGTGGAGAGTTCATAAGACTTGGATTCTTCCTAGCAATATAAGATGTTTATGTTACTAGAGTATACATTAAGAAATATGATCACTTGTGCATAAAACAAATCCACACCAAATGTGGTTCAATATTGCATTCTGATTTTGTTTTAAATGCTAAGTATTTCATAAGATCACTGTTAACAATTAGAATTTCTGAAGACTAAAAATACATGTTGTTACAAGTAATTTCTAAAACTTCAAAGAAATCCATAAAACAGAATGAATGATGTTCCAATAAAGTATTGGGCACATATGTGGGAGAAATAGAAGCCCCCATTCCTTGTTGAAGACATCCAAATTAATATATGTTTTTTTCTGGAGCTAAGTGGCAGAGTAAAGAGCATATTGTCTTCTTAAAACCAACTAAAAATGTGTGAGAATTGTGTGAGCATGTGGTTAGACTTGTTTCATTGGTGACAGTCAGAATTACGTTTAGTGAGAAGATTTCGATTTAGAACACACAGAGCTGAGTTCAAGGTAAGCTGAAACTCTGTTTATCTTGGACTGAAGGTGATATTGTCCAAACCGAGTATTCAAAAGTATTAACTGTGTCCCTATTTTGGCTAAGTGTGATTAATATGTTTTCTCTTAAACACTTTGATTTTTCAGTTTCGCCATAAGAGTGATAATCAAGTGAATAACCGTCAGTCTGAAGTGCTCATTGATAGCAAGTAAGAAATTCTTCGAGTTATTTTTAAGACTTTTGAGATTCCAGCAGAGGCCTTGATAATTAGTGGCTTTGTCTTTTAATTATGTATGTTTTTTTCCCTCTTTAATTTATTAAAAATTGAAATGCAATTTTATCTTCATGGCTCTTTTTAAATATTCAGTAAATAAAAGTTGAAATATCCATTCAATTTCTACTTCAAATTCCTTTGCATTGTTTCTTACTCTGTCCTCTCTGTCCTTTTCTTTTTGCTGATCATACATGGCAAAGTAAATTAGTCACGATGTACTTCAATCTGGCAGTCAATCATTTAAAATAAAAATTAAACTTTTATTTCATTTTAAAAAATTTGCCAGGCGTCTATTGTCTTATGAGAGAGAGTGAGACTGGGAAAGTTAGGAAGTATCCCTCACAGGGCATGGCCACACCACAGTCCCTTCTCTGTTTCTCGCTCCTGGTGTGTTTTTCAAGCTGCTGAATCCAGGACTTAATTCAGCCACCTTAACCATCAGGCCATAGGCTGGCCTGGTCATTGCTATGAAATCATTTGGATATTGTGAAAAATATAATTTTTAAGGAGAAAATCAGGGGCCAGCAGGTGGTGTGGTGGTTAGGACACTGGACTCCCTCATGGCCAACTGTGGTTCAAATCCCACACCTGATAGCTTGAAAATCATGCCAGGCACATGTTCATGCGAGTTTTTTTTTTTTTTTTTTTCCAACAATAGGGGATGCTCATGCGAGTTTTTTTTTTTTTTTTTCCAACAATAGGGGATGCCGTTTTTTGTTCAATGCTTTTTCTACATGTATTGAGTTGACCATTTTGTCCTTCATTTTATTGATATGGTATATCACATTTACAGATTTTTGTATGTTGAACAATCCTTTCATCTTTGGTATAAAACCGACTTGTCATGGTATATAATTATTTTGATATATAGTCAGAGTTGATTTATTAGTATTTTATATAGGATTTTTGCATCTGTGTTAATTACAGATATTGATCTGTAGCTTTTTGTGGATTATTTCTTGTCTGGTTTTGGTATCAGAATAATAATGTCTCATAGAATGAGTTTGGGAAGGTTTCTTCTGCTTTAATTTCTTTGGGTAATTTGAGAGGCATCAATATTAGCTCTTTAAAGTTTTTGTAGAATTCAGTAGTGAAAACATCTGGTCCTGGGTTTTTCTTTGTTGGGAGACTTTATATATTGATCCAATCTCATTTGTTGTTATTTGTCTATTTGAGTTTTCTATTTCTTCCTGGTTCAGACTTGATAGATTGTATGTGTCCAGCAATTTATTCATTTCATCAAGATTTTTCAGTTTGTTGGCATGTAGTAACTCATAATATTCTCTCACTATTATCTTTTGCATTTCTGTAGTATCATGTGTAATGTGTCCATTTTTTATTTCTGATATTATGTATTTTGGCTTTCTCTCCTTTTCCCCCTTAATTTAGTTAATGATTTGTCAACTTTGTTTACTTTTTTAAAAAACAACTTTTTGTTTCATTGATTTTTTTGGGGGGGATCTTGAGTTTGTTTATTTTTTTATTGGATTTTTATTACTTTTTTCCTTCAGCTAATTTTGTGGTTAGTTTGTTCTTGTTTTTCTAGGCCCTTAGAGAGGATCATTAAATTGTTTATTTGAATTCTTCCTTTCTCTTTTATATGAAAACCCTTATTGCTATAAGCTTCCCTCTTAGAACTACTTTGGCTGTATCCCATACGTTTTGATAGGTTGTATTTTTCATATTTATTTTTCAAGAAATTTAAAATTTTCCATTTGATTTCTTTAACACAGTAGTCATTCAAGGAGCATATTTTTTAGTTTCCATGTATTTGTATGTTTTCCAGTGCTTTTTGTTAATGATTTCTAGCTTTATTCCATTGTGGTCAGCAAAGATACTTGACATAATTTTTTTTTTTAAACTTTTTAAGATTTGTTTTGTAGTCCAACATACGGTCTATCCTGGGGAATGATCCATGGGCTGATGAGAAGATTGTGTATGACTAATTGGTTCAGGAATATGAAAGAACAGCTGCCTTGGCTCAAGTTGAAGAAACCCTGGGTTTAATTTGTACTTCTGAATGCCCCTGATATTAGGTTGAGGGTGAGACTTGCTTGTAATCACAACCTTGTTTGGCTTCTTCTCTTTCCTTGTTGCTGTTTCTCATCTCCCTTATCAGTTTTCTTGAAAGTAGTTTTTTTTTGGTCTTTTTATTATTTTTTTTAAATTCCCCTAATTGCTAGAGAGCATGTGCACTCAACAGAGAAAGATAATGAGAGAGAGAGGGCGAAAACACTCACCAATGGGCTTGGCCATAACCTAATCCCTTTTCTTCCATTTCTCTATCCTGTTTAGATGTTTTGACACACATGTACACACACCTTATGTTTTACAAGCTGCCGAGGCTGGGGATTCATACCGCAGTTGACCACATGAGATCTGGCTTTCTTAACCACTAGGCCATAGACTGGCCCTGAAAGTAGTTTCTTAATGAATCACTTGCACATGAGTTGTCATTTCAGAATCTGTTGCTATTAAGGCAGATCTAAGACAGTATTAATATTAATAGAAAGTGTTAAAAAAGTATATGGGGCCTATTCTTGGCATATGAGGATCATGATCCAGTAATAAATTAAAAAGGCAGGAAGGGGTCACTCTGGGAGGAGAGATGGGTGTCACATTGGAAGTACTGCCAGAGATTTGTGGCTTCCTTTGTGTGTTCATGGTAGGGTCTTGGACTTAGGGTCTTTATGATAAGGCAGGAGCCATTGGCAGTCCTAGAGGGAAGAAAGGCACAGTAAGCTTTGGGGAGGAGGTCCCTGAGGGATGAAAGAACCAGCCAGGAAACCTGGGTCCATGTTAGTGATCATTGTGTGACTTTGGGCAATTAATTTTCCTTCTGATCTTTAGGGGCACTTTCTCCTGTGCTCAGAAGCAATAAAGGTGAGTGATTATGTGTAGATTCAACACATATTCATTGAGTAACTACCATGTGTGGGCCTAGTGCTCCCACATTTAACTTTCATAAAACTCTAAGGTGTGGGTAACATTACTCTGTTTTAAAAATGAAGAAATTATGGTCCAGTCATGGAGTGACTAGCCCAGGGTTCTGTGGAAAGTAAAAGTCTTAAATTAGTTTTTATTACTATTTTTTCATTTTGTAGAAATTAATCTTTTGTTTTCTTTTTCTAGTCCATCATTGTACATCTTTACAACACACAATATGGTTTTTCAAAACATGTATGTAGTGCATGATATTACTGTATACATCTTTTCTTTTTTCTTTTTTTTGGAGAGGATTTGCTACAGGGTGTGTGCGCTTGCCAGAAAGAGAGAGACAGAGAGATAGAAAGCGAGAAATCACCCCCCCTGGGGCGCTGGCCACGCTGCAATCCCCTCTCTTTTATTCTCCTCTCGGGATCTTGGGCACGCACACACAGGCACCCCGCGTGAGTTTAAGACACTGGGTCCGGGACTCAAACCACACTCTGCTACTTGGGTGTCCAGCAACATAGCCATTACGCTAACTGCTGGTCCCATATACACATTTTACATTTTTTACATTCTTTTGTTTCTTAAATGTTTCTTCCCTTTATTCCTCATATCCACCCTCTATCATCCTCACTCCTCCTCATAGTATGTAGTATCTACACTTATGCTCTCTACTACTGTATCTTCAGATCTTTCCATTTCTGCCACATAGTGCAGGCATTTGGTATGTATTGAGTGGGAGCATACAGTGTGTGTCCTTCAAAATCTTGCTCCACTTAACATGAAGTCTTCTATACTCATCCGGTTTGAATCAAATGACAGGGTCTTACTGTTTCTTATGGATGAGTAGTATTCCATGGCGTATATTTGCCAAAGTTTTCAATCCAGTCATCCTGGAGAATGATCTATGTGCTGATAAGTAGTTATTCTTGGATACTTAAGTTGATTCCATGTCTTAGCAATTGTGAATAATGTTGCAATAAACATGGATATGCAAGTGTCTTTCTGACTGTTTTCCTATTTGGACAAATACTAGGCAGAGAGATTACTGGGCCATATGGTAGTTCTATTTGTAGGTTTTTGAGGAACCTTCGTATTGTTTTCCACAGAAGTTGTGCTAACTTATATTCCCAACACTGTAAGAGGGTTTTTCTTTTCAGCACAGCCTGGCCAGCACTGGGTGTCTTTATTTTATCATAGCCATTCTAACTGGAAGTAAGTGGTTTTGATTTGCATTTCCCTTATGATAAGAGACATTGACCATTTTTTCCCCATACTTTTGTTTTGCCATTTGTATGTCTTTCTTAGAGAATTATCTATTCAGATAATTTGTCTAGTTTTAAATTGGATTATTATTATTATTTTTGCCGGTAAGCTGTTGAGTTTCCTGTGTATTCAGATGATCAATGCCTTGTCTGAGGCATAATTTGAAAATATTTTTTCCCATTCTGAGGATTGTCTCTTCACTCTAACTATTGTTTACTTTGCTGTGCAGAAACTTTTTAGCTTGATGTATTCCTACTTGTCTATTTTTGAGATTATTGCCTGTGCTTTAGGGGTCTTATTTAAGAAATTTACTCTTGATTCATTGTGTAAGCGCGAGCTTTGCCTTGTGGTCTGATAATGTCACCACTATTTTATATCTGAAGGACTCTGTATATAATTACATAAGTATAAATCTTTTTATATAAGATATGTTATATAGTTTATATCTGTTTACATATATATGGATAAGGAAGCATATATACATGTACGTAAACATTATATATCTACCCTTTCAGTGCTTGGAGCATTACTCATGTATGTTCTTGCCATTGTATAAACTGTAATGCTGAACACTAGAAACCTAACCCACAAAATAATTACAGAAATGAAACTCTTTTCTTGGAACTTTCCTTTTCAATTTCACTTTTTTGGTTTTGTTACTCTATTCCTTTTAAATCAGGACAGATCTTTTGTATTTGCAAACTGCTGTAATATGTGAAAGTGCTTAAGAAATGAGT